AACGACATTAGACCACAAATGCTGAACAAAAGATAGTTAAAACTGACGGATTCTGTTTCTGTCTCCTGTCTCATCTCTACCCCTGTTGTCTTTTGTCTTCCCTCCTTTGTGAAGGATGCTAAAGAACTCTTTCCTCAGGATTTCCTCATTGAGGACCTAGCCCCAAAGGATGAACCATGTGCAAACACCACCAAACAAATATGGACACAAAAACTCAGCAAGATGCCAGGAGCAGTCATGCTGCTTACTCTCATTAAAGCTATTACGTATCCATTGATACAGATGCCAAATCATGGTTATTTCATGGCTTACCATGAATGTCAAATAACATAAAGATAAAATATAACTCAGCTAAATAAAGAAGATGACAGAAAAGAGTAAAATTACAAATAAATTTGTCACAGTTTTGATGCCAAAGTTATATGGATATCCAAAGATAGGGGTTTAGATAAGAAAACCAATGCTAGCAATAGAGTTGTAAAGTCACACTTCTTATATAAGATGAGGCCTCAGGGATCCCCATTTTCAATCCCATCATTTATCAAATGAGGAAACTGAGGCTCAGAGGAGCAGAACAACTTGCTTAACGTCACACTGATTATCAGTTACAGTGATAGGACTACAAACTCATATTAGTTGTCTTTTCCTCTTCAGCATTATATGATAGCAATGAAATGCACAAATTGAGGAAATTCGTTCCTGGCCCTGGAAAAGCTAAGTCTTTCTTCCAACAGAGTTTGAATATGTTGGACTCCTTCAACATCACTGTCCCATACCAGAAAAAGTCATATATTATGTACATAACACATCTCTATTTACATGTAATCTTTAAAATACAATTCCAGTATGTTCGTAAATTCCCAGAAATGAACTCAACTTCCTGTGTGAGATAGTGCAGTTTTATGGCTTTGTTGCTGTACTGTGTATTTAGCCCAGGAAAACAAGCAGAATAATACTGCTCTGTGAAAAGACCCACCAAACTGTATTATTCAATACTCCTGATAGATGATAGTCATTTTTGCAAGTGGCATCTGTCTAAGAATTCAGGTCTCAAAGAGTGTCATAACTGTGCTCAATCATTGCATCTCCCTCCATTAAAAAACTGTATTGAGATTTCTAGAACTACAGCAATCAATCTGCTTGATTAATGAAATGTTTTTAAGCTTTTGTTTTCCTGGCACTGGCTCTCAAAAAAATTAGACGCTCATTTCCTCCTCCATTTGTGGTTGCTAGGAAAGTGAGAGATTTGGTGATAAATATTTATTATCTTCCAATTCCTGTCTCCCTTATGGTGGGGTTATTGCTTTATTCAGTTCCAAAGCTAAGGGAAATGTCTGCCATGTCATTAATAATAAACAAAGCTGTAGTGTGTGTGCAATAATGAATTAAGCTCATCCCAGCCCATCTGTGCATCATCATTTACAGGCATCTTGTCAAGCAAAGGTTCTGCAGAATCCACAGGTCCTTGGTCTTCTCATTATGGAAGTAATCTGTGAGAGGAGGTCGGTTAAGTTGTAAAATACTATTATATAAAGTGAGCAATCTCTTTTCCCAAAGAAGTTTCTGGAAATGAAGCAAAAGTCTAGCCATTCTTGCCCCAAGGTTTCTGGGGCAGGGAGAGAGAAAAATCACTAAGGCTCATCTGATATTGGAGAATCAATGGAGCAGCCTCCCTATAGAAATTAAGCAGCTGGAGAGGGAGCAAGCCTCAGTCTGGACTTGTCCACCTTTTTATTTATTGGACAATTCAGAATGGCTCCTTCAGTGTGCCAGTGAGCCTTTTCCAAACTGCTTCATAAAAATTTCACTCACACTATTTCTACTGTTTCCCTTCATTAATCTAGTAAACAGCATTCAGATGATAAACCTCTGTTTCCTTCTAGACAAAGGTCTCCACATTTCCTTAACCTATTGCTAACATAACGAATACCCCAAATCGGAGCTTCTCAAATTTTAATAAGCATTTGAACCACCTACAGATGTCGTTACAATGCAGATTCCGATTCAGTAGGTCTGAGATGGGGACTGAAATTCTGCATTTCTAGCAAGCCTCAAGTAATGCCCATGCTGTTGCCTACAGACTTTCCTTTGAGTAGCAAGATCTTAAGTGAGTCATTTTTTCACTTGGAATTTCAAATAGTCATGCAAAGATAATAAACTTAAAAGCCTATGTATTTCAAAAGAGGAGAGAAAAACAAGTTTTAAAAATTTTAAATCCTACATAACAAAGAAAATATTTTATGTATTTTAAAACAGATGAATTTGACACTTTTATCCAAGGTTACCTCTCAAATATTGTTTCTCTTTAAATTATAACATCCTGTAACCCCCACATACCTGTAAGTTCTATAAACTAGTGTAGTAGATATCAAAATGATCTTACGACCAGTAATGCCATTAAAGTTTTCCTAGTATTTATTGCTAGTATGCCTTCTGCCCATCTAGATCATAAACTCCCTAAAGCTACAAGAGACATCTTACCAGTTCATCCTAACAGTCCCTCACTCAGGATACTGTCTAATCCAATCCAACCAACATGATTGCATACCTACTGTACCATCAACACCATGCTGAGCACTGGAGATTTTGGAAAGAATAAGAAAAAATGAACTTGCTCTCACGGAGTTTAGCAGAAAATGTAATATTTTTTTTCCTGAATCACTTAAGTATAGCACATGTTAGAAAGCTAAATAATGTCAACACTAGACAGGCAAGATCATCTTATGACATAAAGTTAAGTATATTAATTTTTTATTCTAATATTTTAAATCCAAATCTTCTCCTATGTAAATGCCATGTAACTTCTTGAACTCTTTCAAAACTATAAACTTCAAGGATCATAACTCTTTTGTGAATCCAATGCTTTGGCATGTCTATTATATACCAATAAGTAATAGCATTTCAACTGACCAGAGGTAAACAAATGAGAAATAACAAAATTGTATTCTTAATACTTGAGATTTGACAGCTCTAATACAGATGAATTCTATACCACTGGAGCAGAAAACTGTCACAAACCATCAAAAGAAAGATATTTTATCCTACTTGTTACTTAGCAGTCCAGTCACACCAAGGTTAAAAAGTATAATTTCCATATTCCTTATCTAAGAGGACTCAATCAAGCAAGACTCCTTTCAACTCTCATTGGGACAAGAAGGAACAGATGTAAAAACATCTGCCCTGCTTCAAAATGATGAAAACACCAACGTGATATCAAAGACAGCTCTGGGTCACTCCACAAGTCTCTAGTCTCAACATGAAAGTATTTCATTGACTGTCATGGTGAAAATCAAGAATGATACAGACTAACATTTTAATTATCAACCCAGAAACCTTGCTATTGGTCTTCTCTATTCCATCTCACAGCTTTGTCACTGATATTCCTAACTGAAGCTTTCTTATGTGCCTTTTGGGGGACTGAAAAAATGCTCAAATACTTGACATTTTTGGTGCAGCAACAGTGACATCCAGTGGGTAGCAAGATTAACCCCAAAATTCTGTGTTAAATTCAGTGAGGGAGGGTTAGGATATCCCAAAAACTGTTTCTGGCTACCCATGGTCACTTCCGATGAGAATCATGCATTTTTAACTCTCTTGGGATAACAATCTAGTTATTATAGTAGCTAATAGACACAGCAAAACCTGCATCTTGTCTCACTGACCAAGACATTGCTACAATTTCTTCTCATGTCAATGCCAGTCATTGCAACAAAATAAACTATTAGCAAGAAAAGTCTTATTAATTTAACAAATAACATTCTTTCAACATTTGCCTAGCTTCTCATTAAGTTGTTTAACCTGGTTGATCCCCTCAAATGCTGCCAATCCCCAAAAACTTTCTAAAGTTCAAGTGAAGAAATATACTTACTAGGTTTTCTTTATGTATACTTCTTTATCTTTATGAATATTTATAAATATATGTATTTAATATATAATGCATATTTAAAATGTATTTAGAATAAATCTACATTTCATGTTGAGTGGCTAATAGAATCATAAGACATAAATACAATGTTCATGGATTTCCACTTTGTTTCAATAATCCATTTCTATTACTACCGCATGCCATTTCTCTCATTTCAGTTTTAAGTCACTAAGAGTGCTTCAGTCTAACTTCTGGCAAATAGGCACCACAGAAATGTAACAGCTTTGGAGAAAATAATTGTTCCACAGATAAGAATCCCTCAAGCTTAGTGATAAAAAGTTAATTATGTAGACCCTGAGAACCTATCAAGAGAGATACGGATATTGCTGAAATTCCTCTGAAAGTAGAATTAGATTTTAAGGTGTTTTGTAGAAGAAAAGAAAGCAACTATTGAATTCAGCTCATTAGCCCAAATGGGCTCCTTTTGCAAGAAAGAAAGCAGACGCTCTTAAAACAAAATAAAGAGTACTCAGTGATTCATCTGCCTATACTCTAAAAGTATGATGCATTTTTAAAAAACAACAACAAACAGATCAGATTCACTGTATAGAAAAATCAAAATTTATACAATTTCAAAACCAGCAGGAAGCCCAGAAGTCCTGAACTCTGCTATTAACACAACAGGCTTCATAAGGCATTGGAATAGGCCCATCTAATCTCTTAGCCAAACTAAATGACAGCGTATGATGCACATGCAAAAAAAGGCAAAGAAACTCTAAAAATGCATGGAAACATAAAAAATAAGGTCACTCCTAAGACGTTTAGTCTGCTGAGCCTGTGCTGTCCAATATGACAGCCATGAGCTATGGCCACCAACATGTGGCTATGAAGCACATGAAATGTGGCCAGTCTGAATTGAGATGTACTTTAAGCATAAAATACACACCATATTTTGAAGACTTAGTATGAAGAATATAACTCATTAATAATTTGTGTATTGATTACATGTTATAATATTTTTGATGCATGTGGTTAAATAAGACATATTATCAAATTATTTCACCTATTTCTTTTTTAATGTGGTTACTACAAAATTTAAATTACATATGTGCTTTGCATTATATTTCTATTAGACAGTGCTGCTCTAAGCAATACACAAGGATGAACACAAGTTATTTCACATAAACACCTCTACCATTGTTTTATATACAATACTGTCTTAATATATTTATTTACTCTTCAACTGTGCTTCTTGCCTTTTCAAATTCACATACATGATTTAAATATATTTTGAATTAAAATTAGTGATTACAGTTTCTGCAACTACCCATTCATTATTTAGGCACAAAATGGATAGAGGCCTAATTCAGAGGTTAAACTTACAGGTTCTGAAGCCATACCGGCCAAATTCAAATCCCAGGTCTTCTCCTTACTAGATGTGTAACCATAGGCAAGTTATTCAAATCTGTGTCTCAGTTTCCTCAAATGTAAAATGAGAATAACAATAGAATCATTGAGGGGATAAAAATCAGTTATTAAATCACTCACAACAATCCCTGGCAATTAGAAAACATTATTATTAAATATGCAGTTGATTTACTCTTTATTATTGACAGCTAAAAAAAACAATAAACATCTGATACCTTCAGATATTCTGGAACTTTAAAAAGCACTGAGTATACATGCATTTATAATTTCACCCTTCAAACAATATGATTCATACAATAAACTTTCCTAAAGAAATTAGTCACAATATTGACTATTTCTTCATTTTTTCTTTTCTAAAAAAAAAGCCATAATATATTTTCTTCAGGCACACTAATATTTTTTCTATTAAATCCTGCTTTCCCTTTCCTTTGGTTAATCTTTTATAACCATGTTTTCCCTTCTCATTACCCAGAACTCAAAGCTCACTCATTTGGACTCTTCATCTAAGTCTAGCAAGTCGTTTCCTCCCATTCCTTCCATTCCAGTCTTCAAAATCGCTCCTTCCTAAGCACATTAGCCATCTTTCAGACCTGGTCCAAGTTCCATCTCTCCTTCAGGCCTTCTCTATCCACTTCAGCCTGCACTGTTTTCCTCCCTAAACTCTCACATTGTTGCCTGCTTATTCAACTATTTATTGCCTGCCAACATCAGAGAGGCACGCTCAGAAGATACCAAGAAAAATGAGATACACGACCGAGCACAGTGGCTCACGCCTGTAATCCCAGCACTTTGGAAGGCCGAGGCGGGCAGATCACTTGAAGTCAGAAGTTCAAGACCAGCCTGGCCATTATCGTGAAACCCTGTCTCTAAAAAATAAATAAATACATTTAAAAATTAGATACACATATATCCCATTCTCAGGGAATACAGTCTTCATGGGAAGACATACATCAAATAAGTCCTCACAAGATAGATGAGTGTCCTGAGATGTGAGCCAGATAGCTAGGGGTCTAGTTTACTCACATGCCCACGCTTTGCTTCCTTATTTGGCCTGCAAACTACTACATATGTCTTTTATTTCCTTCATAACCACTCCGGCATCCAGCACAATACTAGGCACACAGTAGGGATATATTGATTGAACAGGCAAATATAAACAATATATTTTTATTTAGACCCCATTTCTTTCTTTCATATTACCCGTCATTTTTGCCCACCACAATTTGACTTTCACTCTTCATTATTGCATGGCATAGAAGAAAGATCACTCTACTCAGATGACTTAAGCTAGGCTGCCGCTCCCAAACCCACCAGCTGTATATTTAATCTGTTGGTCAAAGTGTTGTACAAATATAGAACACTGGTGCTTTTGGTCCATTCCTGAAACATCTTCACCTCTTTAGAATTCAGCAACTATCTCCTAAGTCCTTATTTTATACAGCTTTTTAAAAAGTAACTGCAATTCAGCTGCCATCTTGTGCCCCATGTGTGTGCACCTAATCTCAGCTGGTCCACCTGAGACCCCCTGAGCACCAACCCTAGTCCCCTGAGCAGCTCCTTATCCGCTCCGAAAAGATGAAAAAACCAATCATGAACCAGGAAAAACTCACCAAACTGCAGACACAAGTGTACGTCGGTGGGAAAGGAACTGCTCACAGAAAGAAGAAAGTGGTTCACAGAACAGTCACCGCAGATGATAAAAACACTTCGGCTCTCCTTAAAGAAGTTGCGGGTAAACAATATCCCTGGTATTGAAGAGGTGAATATGTTTACAAACCAGGGAACAGTGACCCACTTTCACAACCCTAAAGTTCAGGCATCTCTGGCAGCGAACACTTTCACCATTACAGGTCATGCTGAGACAAAGCAGCTGACAGAAGTGCTACCCAGCATCTTAAACCAGCTTGGTGCAGGTAGTCTGACTAGTTTCGGGAGATTAGCTGAGGCTTTGCCCAAACAATCTGTGGATGGAAAAGCACCACTTGTTACTGGAGAGGAGGAGGATGATGAAGTTCCAGATCTTGCGGAGAATTTTGATGAGGCTTCCAAGAATGAGGCAAACTGAATTGAGTCAACTTCTGAAGATAAAACTTGAAGAAGTTACTGGGAGCTCCTATTTTACATTATTACCATTTTTTAAGACATTTTTGTTTATGGATCTGATAAAACCTAGATCTCTAATATTTTTAATCCCAAGCCCCTTGGATACTGCAGCGCTTTTCAGTTTTTGCTTATACACAATTCATTCTTTACAGCTAATCAAGCCAAAGAAGCCTGGAAATCAAGTTTGAAAGAAAGGTTAATAAAGTTGTTTGCCTAGTTAAAATGAAAATTAACTGCAATTCAAAAACCCAAATACAAGCACTACTGACATTTTCAGGTAGATTTTTCTAATCTTTTCTCCATGTACATATATACATATATTTTGCTTTCTAAAATTGGGGTCCTATGGTAGATACATTCTTATAATCTGATTTTTGTTTGATATACAATGAATGTTTTCCCACACCATTGATTCTTAATCTATACAATGACTTTTTTAAAGTACCATCATCTTTATTCTACATATCAAAAATCAAGGGCCAGAATGGAGAAGTGACTTGCACAAGGTCACATGGAAAGCAAGTGGTGGGACTGAGGTACAAATCTTTTGATTTTTGCTTTATTTGTTTGCTTGTTTTCAACTCTACTGAGGTATTATTGCAAATAAAATTGTATACATTCAAAGTATACAACATGATGGTTTGTTGTGAGTACCATGATCAACTTAATATATCCATCACCTCATATAGTTGCCTTTTTTGTGAGAATGCTTACTGTCTACTCTCCTACAAAATTTCAAGTATACAATAGTGCTATTAACTATTAATATAATTAATATCTGTACTTTAGATACCCAGAAGTTACTCATCTTATAACTGAAATTGTGTATTCTTTGGCCAACATAGCTCTATTTCTCCCACCCCAGACCCTGGCAACCACCATTCTGCTTTCTGTTTCTATGAGTTCAACTCTTATTTTTTAGAGTTCACATATAACTGATACCATACAGTATTTGTCTTTCTCTACCTGGCTTATTTCTCTTAGGATAATGCCCTCCAGGTTCATTCTGTGTTGGCACAAATGACAGGATTTCCTTTTTTTTATGTGGCTGAATATTACCTTATAAACATCTGTGTGTGTGTGTGTGTGTGTGTGTATGTGTGTGTGTATATATATATATGGACTTCAGAAAGTTCATGGAAATGGAATTTAAAGATAATAACTAAAAATATAAACTTTATTTCTCAACATAAGCTCCATCAAGTTAAAGATACTTTTGTAAGTGTTGATACCAGTCATTTAGTCCATCTCTTAGAAACCGATTATCCTGGGGACTTAACCAGGTCAATGCAGTCTTATTTACATTTTTAACTGAACAAAAATGGTGGCCCTTTACAGATTTTTTAAGATTAGGAAACAAAAAGAAGTCACTAGGAAAGTCAGCCAAATCATGACTGTAAAATGACACCTAATGATTTCTCATAAAAACTTGCGTCAGGCTGGTGCAGTGGCTCATGCCTATAATCCCAGCACTTTGGGAGGCCAAAGTGGGCAGATCACCTGAGATCGGGAGTTCGACATCAGCCTGACCAAAATGGAGAGACCCCATCTCTACTAAAAATGCAAAATTAGCCGGGCGTGGTGGCACATGCCTATAATCCCAGCTACTCCGTAGGCTGAGGCAGGAGAATCACTTGAACCCAGGAGGTGGAGGTTGCAGTGAGCTGAGATCGCGCCATTGCACTCCAGCCTGGGCAACAAGAGCAAAACTCCATCTAAAAAAAAAAATGCACAAAATTGCCCTTGTTTAATGAGAGGAATGAGCAGGAGCATTGTCATGGTGGAAAACTCTCTGATGAAGTTTACCTGGGCATTTGTCCGTTCATGCTATGGCTAACTTTCTCAAAATACCCTCATAATAAGCAGATGTTATCATTCTTTGGCCCTCCAGAAAGTCAACAAGGGAAATACATGGAGCATTCCCAAAAAAACTAATCCCATGACCTTTGCTTTTGACTAGTCTGCTTTTGCTTTAACTGGACCACTTCCCCCTTTCAGTAGCCATTGTTTTGAATGCACTTTCAGGATCATTTTGGTAAAGCCATGTTTCATCTACTATTACAATTCTAAGAAATGCTTCAGTATCTTGATCCCACTTAGTTAAAATTTCCATTGAAAGCTCTTTTCTTCTTTGTAGCCAGCCAATCTGGGTGCAATGGTTTTGGCACCCACCAAATGGGTGCCATTTACTCAACTTTAATTTTTCAGTCAGAATTGTGTAAGCTGAAACAATTGCACTGTACTGTTGGCTATTGTTTCTGTTATTAATCATCAGTTCTCTTCAATAAGTACATGAACAAGATTAACTTTTTCCTCACAAATTAATGTGGATAGTCGGCTGTGGTAGTCTTCAACATTGTCTCATTCTGAAAGCAAGTTATCCATTTGTAAACTGCTGAATTCTTCGGGGCATTGTCCTCATAAAATTTTGTAAAACATCAGTGATTTCACCATTCTTCTACTCAAGCTTTACCATAAATTTAATGCTTCTTCCTGCTTAATTTTAGCAGAATTGGTGTTACTCTGATAGGGGTTCTTTTCAAACTGATGTCTTATCCTTCTTAGTGCTTCAAACTAGATCCTGTTCAGATATGTTATAACAAGTTATTATGAGTTTATTTGGGTGCAAAAAAATTGAAATATATGCATAGTCTTTTCATAATATGCATTTTCCATGAACTTTTTGAAATTCCTTTCATGTGCATGTATCACAATTTCTTTATCCATTCATATACTGACAGGCACTGAGGTTTTTTTTCTACTTCTTGGCTATTATGCATAATGCTGCAATGAACATGCAAATGCAGATATCTCTCTGAGATACTAATTTTGTTTCCTTCAGAGATATACCAAGAAGTAGGAACACTGGATCATATGGTATCTGGTATCTCTATTTTTAATAGAGGACTCTCCATACTGTTTTCCATAATGACCGTACCAATTCACATCCCCTCCAACAGTTTACAAGAGTTTCCTTTTCTCCACATCTTCACCAACACTTGTTTTGGCTTTTTGATACTACCCATTCTAACAGGTGTGAGGTGATACGTCACTGTGACTTAATTTGCATTTCCTTGTTGATTAGTGATGTTGAGTATTTTTTCATATACCTCTTGGTCATTTGGATGTCTTCTTTTCAAAAATGTCTATTCAAATCTTTTGCCCATTTTTTCATTGGGTCGTTTTCTTGCTATTGAGTCATGTGAATTCCTTATGTATTTTAGTTATTAACCCCTTATCAGATATAAGATTTGCAAATATTTTCTCCCACTCTGTTAGTTGTCTCCTCACTCGGTGTATTGTTTCCTTGGCTGTGTAGAAGCTATTTAGTTGTATGTAATACCATTTATCTATTTTTTATTTTGTTGCCTGTACTTATGGGATCAGATCCAAACTGCCCAGATCAATGTCATGGAGCTTTTCCTCTGTTTTTTGTTTGTTTGTTTGTTTTTGTTTTTGTTTTTTTTCTACCAATTTTACAGTTTCATGTCTTATAACTAAGTCTTTAATCCATTTTGAGTTGATTTTTACATATGGCATAAGAGTCTAATTTCATTCTTCTGCATGTGGATACCCAGTTGTCCCAACACAATTTATTGAAAAACTAACCTTTTTTCATTGTGTGTTCTTGGCACTGTTGTCAAAGATTAGTCCCTTGAATACATGTGGTTTATTTCTGGGATA